GTAAGCAGGGGGCCCCACGTGCTAGGTGCTAATCAGCTGTGCCTGAGGCTCAATTTACTCATCTTTAATGGAGGGGGGTGGGTGTAGCACACGATAGAAATCCCTCTCCTGCTCTAACTTTTTGACCATCTATACTACGACTGTGATGATTAAAACAAGTGATGTGTACCCCCCACCATCCAAATTATGATCATTCTTTTTTTTTTTTTTTTTTTTTTTTTGTCTTTTTTTCCTGTCCGGCAATGGATCACAACCCTCAGTGTCGCGCCCGTACCGGACCGGACCAGCAACGGGATCGCAACCCTCGGTGTCACGCCTGCACCTCACTCAGCCAGTGAGCGGGAACCGGTCTGTATGTGGGATCCGAACCCTCGGCGGGAGTGCCACCACGCTCCCAAGCGGCGCACTGTAGCAGTGTGCCACCGGGCCGGCCCAATCATCATTCTTATTCTGGGAAAGGAGGAGAGGAAAATGATATTTTCTGAGAGGTTGGAAAAATCTGTTATCAATAAATAAAGAGGGGGAAATTTCTGGAAAAACAACGATGCTCAGTAAGCAGTGGATACTTACTGAGTGCTAAGTGCTCCGCATACATACACTCCTCTAACCCTCCAATGACCCTGCATGGTCTAGATGAAAATTGCCACCCCCAAGAGACTTTTGACAAAGTGAGGGACCTTGCCCACAGTCACACAGCAAGGTGGTGGCAATGAAGGGATTCAAACCAGGTCTGTCTGCCTCTGGAGCCTTTGTTCTTAAATCTTGGACTATATAATGCATTTTAAAAAGCCCCTCAGACAAGGCCTTTGGGCAGAGAACATTCCACACTCATTTATGGTTCCTGGTCAGCCACTGTGCAAGCCACCAGCAGCTGGCAGGAGAGGCACTGGTGACACAAGGAAAGGGGAAGAAAACCCTGCACAGCCCCTAGGCCCACCTGTGCCATCCTCCAACAAAACAGAGGCCAACTGAATAAGACACACAGAGTAGAACTGTCAAAATTAGATGCCAGATGTCACTGGAAAACAAAAACAAAAAACCCCTCCTTTCAGGTAGTGCTCCCATGAAAACCAGATGTGCTGACAGGGTACCCTTCACCTGAGTCCTGGGGTGATTCTGACAAGGAACGGTTCCGACTGGGAGAAGGTAGAAGCTTTTCTCAGAGGGATCACAGCCTTAAGCACACCACCTCTTTCAAGCAGAACAAAGCTGTCCCTTCCAGTCCCAAAGGCTCCCCACTCTCTCTGTGGAGCTGGATTGAGGCCTGGCTGGCCTGAGGGCTTGAGCACACCAGTGACCGCAGGGGGACTTGCTCAGAGACCCCTGAGGGGAGGGCCTCCATACAGCTGTCCTCACAGCCCAGGCCTGTACCTTCTGGCTCTTCCACATCATCTCAGTCTCTTTCTGGATCCTTTCCATGGACAATCCCTCCTCCTAAGTCTGTCCCAATGTTCTTAAAGCCAAAGGATGCTTTTAAACATCTCCTTGATTAACTCTTCATCAAGCCCTCGAAGCACATGAAGTAGAAGGTCATGTGGAGAAAGTAGCCAGGTGAGCTCTTCTCCTCTCATCTAATTCCTCACCCACATCCCCAAATAAAAACAAACAGGCTGAACTGTTACTTGGAACTGGTTGAAAAACGTGCAGCTGCTGTCAGATGGGGCTGCGGTCTTCCCCAAGACAAGGAAGCCACGAGACTCCAGCATTCTGAATAACCTGGATTTCAGGTATAGGAGACATTTCTTTGTTCTTCCCTAACAGGAACAACCAGGCAACCTCTGCCCTCTCTGTCTAGATGACGGCTGGGCAACCACACCAAGAGGTTGTTTTCCTTCATTAAATTCATAATGAATAGGCTGCTCCAACAAGGAAACAGCACTGCTTAAGCATGCAGCCTTTAAGGACGCGTCTGAAGGCTTAATGTATCGGCAGCAATTATTAAATGACTTACTGTGTGTGACCCTTTGATCATAAGCTGGCTCTCTGACAGGTGTCGCCCAGAGGCAGCACATCAGTCTTTGAAAAGGCAGATCCTATCACATGATGATTCAGGAAGAATTCTCAAAGAATCCTGATCAGTCTCGTCAAAGGGCAATAAAATCACATGTAGTTATTGTGCAGAGGAAAAGTTTCACTTCTAAATAGCTAAGCATTATTATTATCTCTCTTTAACGATTCTGAGTCTTGCCCCACCCTGACTTTATGACGTGTATTACAATTAGAGCTAGTTTCAACAGTTTGGGGAAGGCAATTAAAAAAAAAAAAAAGTAAAAGAAAAAAGAAAGAAAAGTGAAGACTGTATTTTCCACCAACCTTGATTTTTCACCTCTGCGAATTCCTTGTTGTACTCTTCAAGAGTTTCCCTAAGTTTCTGGTTCTCTGTTTCGATGTCGTGCAGGCGCTGCACTTTGAGCTGGAGCTGCTGCCCGAGATCCAGAGCTGGCGCTGGGTCTGCATGACAGGAAAATGCACATCAACCCTTTCTGGACCCACATGTGCCACATGCATAGCATACAGAGGCCCGAGGCAGGTCTCCCGGGGTGTCTGGGAAGCCAGCCTCCAGCAGGCTCCCTAGGATGGAGATAGCCCTCCAGATGTCAGTCCCAAGGCTCCCGTTGCCTCGCCTTGTTCTGCACAGGCCTGGGAGTCCCCTGGCAGGTTGGGGTCCTTCTCTGATGCTTTACAAAGGAAGGACTCACCTCAGGGTCTTCAACTTGTGAAAATGGGGTGGGAATAGCCAGTGGGGCTCACTGCTAATTGCCAACTGCTCTGGAATGGTGTGACACTTTTAATGATTTTCATTATTGGATTGATAAGAAGAGAAGTACACGTGGCTGTGGCAAGGGAAGGAGCCCCAGGAAAATCAACCATGTGCCTAATGCCGGATTTGGAGGATGAAGAGTCCGCAGAAAGGTGCCCATAAGCTTACAGGTTCCAATATGAAGCTGGAATTATAAAATCCAGTTATCAAGTTGGAAATAACACTTGATACTCTCAGAGAGTCACACAATTCATAGGACACTTCATGGACATTGTCTCATTTAAGCCTTGCAACGATCCTGGGAAAGAGATGTGCGACACTATGTTCCTTTCCCAGAAGGGGACACTAAGGCTCAGGAACTCGCCCCAGGTTACCTGGTGAGGCACAGAGAATGCGAATCCAAGTCTGTTAACTCCACGTGACCATTCTGTACAACAAGGAAGATCACCCGACAGAAGAGGAGATAAACCCTTGGGCTTTATAAGAAGCCACCCCGTTTCAGGACACTGTCACTTTTCATCACAATCCCCTTTACTAATGAAGGATATTCAGAAGAGTCAGGGGTTAGCAGCTGCTGATCCGAAGCCTGGAGAACCCTGTAGAAGCACAACTGGTGACCCAGCACACCCCACTGTGGGTCAGCAGGTTGGCCAGCCAGGAGGCCGCCATGCTCCTGATTATAACACAGAGAGCTGAGCAATGTGGGCAGAATAGCATCTGGGTGAGTGGTGTGAAGTCTTGCAACCAATTCAGTGTGATACCTGCCAGAATCCAAAGTTAGAGATCGTGGACATGGAATTTATGGTACTGACTCTCAGCCTTCGCATTTACTGTTAATTCAGCCTAAGAAGGAGAGACATTCAGTGTTCATCTGCATCAGTTCCATCTTTATTTTTCCTCCTGCTGCCCAAGAGGCAATTATAATTCACCTGCTGGGCACCAGAGGAGCACTTCCTCTGAAATTCTCAGGCCCCGTCAGAGAAGAATACCCAAGTTCACAAGGCTTAGAAAGATTATTGAATGTATTTCTGGCATGGGCGCCAGCATCACTTGTGAGATGGCTGCAGAGATTTAGTCTCCTGTTGAGGAATTCTAAACACCAAGCACCATGGATCAACAAGGGTATATATTCAAGAGCTCACTTAATTTTCAAATGCCAGAGTCATTAATTTTTTAGACCACCCTTGGTTCCTGGAAATGAGGGCTAGGTCTACCAAGCCGCAGTTAATGTGTCCAACAAGAGCCAGGAACTCTTTGAGATGCCAACATCTTTGCAGAGTTTACAAAAGACAGGCCCTGTGATATGTCGAGGGCAGTGTCGGCAGACCCTGCGTGCTGGGGCCTGACACCAATGCTGTCCATCATGCCAAACCCCTGGCTGCTGGGCATTTATTCTGCATGTATACACAAGTTTATGCCAGCATCACTTTCTCATTTATGACTTTTCATTATTATTTTAATCAGCATTAAAATATTTATGTTAAATTAGATTTCAAAAGCTATTTTGGGGAGATGGTTCTTTGTAAGCAAGAGTAGCTATAACACAAAAAACTGAACTCATCAGAACATTACAGGTGCAGGTTTTTTTTTTTTTTTAATTTCAGTATCTTCCCGGGATATCTCCCCAGCCTCTCCCTTCGCCACCTCCATGGCCTCATGGTGGGCAAATGACCTCACAGAAATGAATGGTACAGCCACAACCTTCGTAGAGAACTATAATCTGAACCTGATAGAGAGGTCAGGGAAGGGGGCAGGAAGGATCCACCTCACTCGCACAAAATTCTATTCCCATTCGCTCATATGGCTTCCCGGCACAATTGCCAGCACAAATTATGTTTTTAAAGAACTAAACCAGTATACTGCCCTTCATCCCTAAAATTTCTCTCACCAATGTTTCCAGTCCATTCCTTTTAAAAGGCTGGGACCCACTATGTCTGCACCAAATAAAAAAGAGCTTCCCTCGTGCGATTCAGTAAAGAATCCAGTGACATAGAAAAGTAACATGCACATTATCAAGTGAAGAGCAACTAGACCTTTAGACAAATTTTCAGAGCATTATATTATAAACGAAAATTCTGGCAATCTCATGATTATTCATTATGGCATGTATATTTAATTTAACACTATTAAAGGTTAATGCCTAAGTAGCAAAACCAGTCACAGAATAAAGAATGAACTGGATGTTCAAACATCTCTATGCATTAAACTTCAAACTTTACTACAGTACAGCTGAATGACTCAATGCCTACAGCATTTGAATATTGTTTTGGGATATGTAAAAGGCACTGCTAAAGTACCTCTTAGGCTTAATTTTTATTACTTGTATTAAAGGAGCAGCTAATTACCACATGACAATATAATGACTCTAGCATGTTTGGGCTAGAGACCAAAACAATGAATTTCAGCATGCCAAACCCCAACCTGCATGTTAATCTGGGGAAATCATAGCTTTTTGTCTCGTTAATGATTTCCAATGCCATTTAAACCACACATACAAGTATTGTTAGCTCTTATTCTGAATGTCAGAAGCCTCCAATCTCAGCAGGTTAATTAGAGAACTGTCTGGGAGGTGAGAGAACACACCCATACGTGAAACAGGAACACACCAAATCCTGTAACCTGTCTTCCCAGCCTCCTCCAGTTCAATGTCCTCTACTCCATCCACCCAACAAGACAAACTTGCAAAGTGTTCTACAATCATCTAATAGTTAATTCCTAAAACACTCTTTGAGATATTATGTAGCTCATTATGCAACACAGGACTCAAAGAATGTAATTATAATAAATAACAATACCATTGCCTATATTTACTCAGCACCTTTTCCTAATTTCGTGTAACGTTATCTCATTAATTCCAGCCACCACAGTCAGAGGTTGGGGGAGGGTGCTCTGTACATGTGTCAGGTGCTGGCATCTCACCCAGGGACACAGTGGGGAAAGAAGACGGCCAGGCAGAAAGGTATGCAAAAGTCTAATTATGATTTCTGCTTCCTGAACCAGCAGCCAACAAAATTATACTGTCTCTTCAAGTACTAATTTAACAAGTATTTCCCAAGCAACTTCTGCTCTGGGAAAGGCCCAGGTTAGGCACTGGGATGGACACTTGGCCAAGTCAGCAGGGACCAGCCTCACAGAAGAGATAAACCATGTATACAAATAACAAAGTTAAAGCAGGAAAGGCCAGCATGAAGATCAGATGGTAGAAGACCACTCCAAGACAGAGAAACTGGGAAAAATAGTTTTTTTTTTAAAAAAAAAAAAAAGAAGAGGTGGTACTTGAGTTGTCCCCCGAAGGACACACAGGATTCAGGTGTGTGGAACCTGTGGGGAGCCAGCCCATGAGGAAGACACGGCAGGCAGCAGAGCGTGGAGTGGGAACAGAGCATGCAGGCAGCTGCCTGCAGCCTGTGTGCATACTCTGTGGCCTCAGGCTGTGCCAGCTGCTGAGGGGATACGTGGTGGACAGGACAAAATCTCTGCTCTCAAAGGCTTAATATTCTCCTGAAATGAGGGAGACAGACAATATGTTCAAGAACAGCCAAGCATGAGAGAGGAAGCAGGGTGTGTATGCCAGGAGTCGCCAGTAGGAAGGGGAAGGGGTCCTAGAGACAGGGACAGGGAAGGCTCTCTGAGGAGATGAATGGGAAATGACTCTGTGAGGATTCACTGGAGGCAGAGGCAACAGCCAGTGCAAAGGCCCCGAGGTGAGTGTGAATGTGCATTTCAGAGCACAGAGAGAAGCCCATGTGGCCACACTGAGGAGAGGAAGAGTGGTCACAGAGGGGAAGCTGTGCTCAAGGATTTAAGAAAAAACATGAATGTGATAAGGAGAGAAATAGAAGATATAAAGAAGAATCAAACTGAATTATAGACCTGAAAATACAATGTCTGGAATGAGCCAGAGGACAGAATCTGGTTCACTTCTACTCCTGTAGGGAAGCTGTCAGAAGAAGAGGGCTTGTGCAAGACAAGCCATGGGGGCACAAGAAGGGAACTGCAGGACTTCAAACGCCAGAAAGGTGTTGGTTTTCTATTGGCAAAAGTATTTAAGAGTTTTAAGCTTAAATATGAGCTATGAAATTTTCTTTAAGACAGCTAAGTGTTTCAAATTAGCTGCCCTGTTCTGTGATGGTGAATAGCTATATCAGTAATATGCTGCCTGACAGACATCTTTGAAAAAATAAACAAATAATCTATGTCTTTGAAGTAAACATGGTGCTTTTATAGTTGGTGAGGAAAAAAACTTACTCCATTAAAGAAACTTATGCTGTAGTGACAGCATTTTAGAAATGGATATTTGGGAAGGCTACCATCATCATATATACTTATGGGAAAAGACAACATCTTCTATAAAAATGTCTCAATACCTTACATCACAAGAGGGAGTGCAGGGTAATGGATTAGAGTGTGGGCCAGACTGCATGTGTTTGAATCCCAGCTCTGCTACTTATTGGTTGTGCAATCCTGGAGAAGTTATTTAACTTCTCTGTAACTTAGTTTCTTCATCTATAAATTGGGCATAATAATTATGCCTCTATCATGAGGTTGTTATGAGAATTAACTTAGAAAATTACCAGGCACAGAGTTAATACTCAATAAACATTACCTATTATTATTTACCAACTCAAGCTTGACTAAATATTTGCCAAAGAAGTTTTAAACCACTTGTTAATAATATAAAAAATATAAC